CATCCTTCTCTCTCCCTTCCTCCCCCTTCTCCCTACATACTAGTGAGAAAAATGCTTCAGGATTGGCCACCCCAGCATTCCCTCCTTCACTTCTCCTCCCGGGTCTGGTCCCCTATCTCACTTTTTTTTAAACATGCAGTCAAGCTCTATTTATGAAACATTCCATTTAATTTTATTACCCTGATGGTTTCCCCTCTGCTCCTTTGAAGTGGAAGATAGCATTTCGTTCAGAAAAACAGCTTAAAGGTTGAAATGGAGCAAAAGAGATGGAAAAGATCATGTGTTTCGTATCAGTCAAAATCTGGGAATGGTGCTTGTTGTACCCTGAAGGAAAAATGAAACTTAATGAAGAGTTTTATTGGGATTTCACTGCTTTTTTTCTCATATCTCAGATCTTTGCCTTCTTTTCCTTAAACCTCTAGCCCCATCTTCTCCATCCCTTCCCCTTACCTCCCTACTCCCTCTTGCCTCCCTCCCCCCCACTCCCGCTTATCCCTACTGTCTTCCTGGAAAGTTTCCCAGCCCTTTCTTTTTTTTTCCTTTGGACTGTGAAGCTATAATGCTGGGAGACTTTACTTCTAAAATGAGCACCTTCTCATCCTCTAAAGCCTTACTGGGAGCATCCTTTAGGTAAGAGACTACATGTCACATCTGGGGACATGCTCAGTGATTGAGTGAAGTCACTTAACACTACTTTGGACACAGAATAAACCCCTTATCTGAGGTGTTTGTCTTTGGTGGCATGTTGAGGCTCAAACATCATTCCCTGCAGTGCCCAATGTTTGTTGTTGTTGTTTTGTGAGGTGGGGGGTGAGGAAGGAGGCAGAAATATAGCTGTGGTCAAAGAGAAACTGCAAGTATTTGCCCAGACAGGATCCATCAAAATTGCCAAAGATTCTCTTAAATGGAAAAGTCAATATTTAAAGTCTCTAATACTGCAGTTACTTCATGCTGGGAGGGCAGGGACGGAATTAACAACTGGAGAAGAGATCAGGAAAGGCTTTGTATAGAAAGGTCATGTTTCATTTGTGTCTTGAAGGAAGTGAGAGATTCTGTAAGATGGAGGTGAGGAAGGGAGTGCATTACAGACATGAGGGATGTCCAGTGGAAAGGTACAAAGATGGGAGATTGAGTATTATATGGGCTGAACAGAGAGAAAGCCATTGGCTGGACAGTGGAGTATGGAAAGGAGAATAGTGTAAGCTGAAGCTGGAAAGATAGGGTGGGGCCAGATTATGAAAGGCTTTGAAAGCCAAACAGAATAGTTTATTTTATCCTAGAAGCAACAGGGAGTTTATTGACTAGAGAAGTGCCATAGTCTCATCTAAACTTAAGGAAAATTGCTTGAGTAGAGAAGTGATTGGAGTCAGAAAGCCTTGAGGTTGGGAGACTAATTAGAAGCTATTTCCATAGTCCAGACAAGTGGTGATGAGGGCCTAAACTAAGCAGGGGCTGTGTGAGTAGTATGGAGACAAATATGAGAGACCGTATGGATGGAAATGGGCAAGATTTGCAAACTGATTGGATATTGAGAGGCAATATATCATAGTGGATACAGTGGTGGGCTTGTAGTCAGAAAGACCAGGGTTCATTCCCTGCCTCTCACATTTAGTAACTGTATGATCTTGGGTAAGTCATGTAACCTCTATGAGTCTCAGTTTCCCTCATTTTAAAATAGAAGAGTTGAATGAAATAGCCTCTTCCAGTTCCAAATCTGTTATATTCTGTGTGGGATATGAGGAAAAGTAAGTATTTGAGGATGATACCAAGGTTATGAAGCTGAAAGATTTGAAATATGATGGTGCCTTCAACAAATAGGGAAGTTCAGTAGAGAAGCGGGTTTAGAAGAGAAAGAGGACTTTTGTTTTGGATATGTTAGGTTTGAGATATCTATGGCATGTTGTTCAGTCATTCAGTCATGTGTGATTCTTCATGACCCCTGGACCAACTGTCCATGGGGTTTTCTTGGCAAAGATACTAGAGTGGTTCTCCATTTCCCTGTTCAGTTTTATGTAGTCAGGGTTAAGTGACTTGCCCAGGGTAAGACAGCTAGTAAGTGTCTTAGGTCAGATTTGAATGCTCGTATTTCTGACTCCAGAACCAGTACTCTAACCACTGTAGCACCTAGCTGCCCCTATCTATGGCATAGCCAGTTTGAAATGACCAATAGGTATTCAGTGATAGGAGATTACACTCAGGCCAGAGACTGGGCCCTTTGGGAGGAATGGCTTCTTTTTTAGCTTGGCTGCTTCCTTTGAGGAGGCAGTGAGACTATCCTCTGGATTTGGTTGGTCAGGAGGACAAGGCTTTAAAAAGCCCAACCTATGCATTCCTGGCATTTATCAAGCTTCTACTTCCCTGCAGAAGTCCTTCTGACTCAGCTGCCTGTCCTGGAAAATGCCCTGGAGAATCCTCCCTCTGGGGAGAGAGGATCAGAGTCTATTTGTAATGAATTACATCCTTTTAATCTTTTTTTTTAAGAGTAAATTTATTTTAATTGAATTTTAAGGCCCTTAAGTGTTTTCTTGCATTCTAAATCTCAAGCTTGAATTAATGGACCAGTCTGAGCTAGGTCAGGCTCAGAACATAATGGACATAATAGACACATCTGTGAGTCATTTGTAGTGAGATGATCTATCAACACACACACACACACACACACACACACACACACAACAACAACAACAGTAAGGTACCAGGCATAGTGCTAAGAAGAAAAGCAAAAATCCACTCCTACTCTCAAGCTCTTGGAGGAGATAACATGCAAGCAACTGTACAAACACGATCTGTGTGCAGGATAAGTGTGGGGGTAATCTCTGGGGGAAGTCTCCCAAGAAAGATGAAGGAGTACTGTCTTGATGAAGGTGGGAATGAAGGAAACTTGGGAAGCTTGGAAGTCTGGAAGAAGTGCCAGTGCATTCCAGACCTGGAGCACAGCCAGTGAAAATGCTAGCAGTCAGAAGATGGAGTGTTGTATGCAAGGAACAGAGAGGAGGCCAGTGTCATAGGATTGTGGAGAGGAGAAAGGTGTGAGAAGACTGGCAAGGAAGGAAGGGGGCTGAGTTGTGAAGGGCTTTGAAAGCCAAGTAGAGAATTTTTTTTTTGATCATTGAGGTAATAAATTACCATTGGAGTTTATTGAAGACAGGAAGTGATATGGTCATTTTTGTGTTTTAGGAAGATTTATTTGACAGTTGAGCTGAGGGTGGACAAGAGTGGAGAAAGATTCGAGGCAGGGATACCAACCAGTAGGTTGTCATAATAGTCCAGGTGTGAGTTGTTGGGGGCTTATACCAAACTAGTGACAGTGTCAGAAGAGAAAAGGGGCATATAGTAGGGCATGGTAGGCTCTAGTGAGGGGCAGCTAGGTGACATAGTGGATAGAGATGCAGGCCTGGAGTCAGGAGGACCTGAGTTCAAATCCAGCTTCAGGTATGTCACTTAACCCTGCTTGCCCCAGTTTCTTCATCTGTAAAATGAGCTGGACAAGGAAATGGCAAACCACTCTAATATCTTTGCCAACAAAACTCCAAATGGGGTTAGAAATGACTAATTGATTCCCTCCTTCCCCCAAAATGGGGATCTAGTGAAGGTTTATTAAGGGCATGTTTGAAGACAGTTGCTAGGGATAGATGGAAGAGCCAGGACTAAGATCTTTGTCTCTACTCTGCCAGGTCAGTGTTCTTCTCACTGAACTTCTTTTTATTTACAATTTAGTTAAAGCACTCTCATGTATATCTCATTTTACTGAACCATTCTCAGTTACCTCCACTAAAGTCTTCTTGTGTTTTTTTTTTTGTTGTTGTTGTTTGTTTTGTTTGGGGGTTTTTTTTGGGCTAGGCAATAGGGTAGTGACTTGCCCAGTCACACAGCTAGTAAGTGTCAAATGTCTGAGGCCGAATTTGAACTCAGGTCCTCCTGACTCCAGGGCTGGTGCTCTATCCATTGCACCATCTAGCTGCCCCTAAAGTCTTCTTTAAGTGTGTGGAGGTGATCCTAGGTTCTTTAAGCTTTTGCCAGTAGAAAACAAGCAAGAGGTCAGACCAGGTCAGAAAGTTTCAGGTTAGGACCTGCTGGTCTGTTATCTGAGGACCACCTGAGAGGAGTTCATCGCTGCAGGGCTGGCTACTAAGCAGGGAACTTTTTTGAAGCCACGGCAACTCATGAAAAGCAGCTACTAAGGCATGGAGGGCTTGTAACCTTCATGGGAGGGGAAGGACAGAGAAGTAGCAACACTGATGGAGTCAGTGACCCTTGAAGTAGTGTAATTATTTCTTGGGTATTAGATTTTTCTCTCAAGATAGACTGTAGGCTTATGGAAAGCTGAGGTTATATTATCTTGGTGGGTTTTTTTTTTAATCTCTTGCAGTACTGGGCATGATGGGCATGACTTAATTTATTGATTATTTCTAAAATCATAGAATTTTAGTTCTGGAGGAGATCTATCCTTTTCAAGTATATAGGTACCCATTTTAAAGGAAAAAAAATTGGAAGGATCCTGAGATGATAATTGTTGTATCATTCATATTCATTGATTGAGATAATAGATGATGACCAGAAGTTACTAAGAATTCAATGACATTTTAACATTTTATTAATCACAACAGTATTTGCACATATTTGAAAATACTGATTATGTGTTTGTTTTGCAAACTGAGGCTCAAATAGTTTGTAATGTGTCAGAGGTGAGACTCATAGCTAGATCTTTCCCGATCCCAAATTCATTGTCCTTTCTGCTATACAACACTACTTTTTATGCATTTGTAGACTCTTTGCAATGCCTCTCTGTCTGTCCTTCCACTCAACCCTCCCAAGTTCCATGGGCCGCTGGTTGGGAAGCACTATCTTAGTCCAACCTCATTTTCCAGATGGGAGAATTAGCTTTCTCAAGGAAACATCAAGTTAAGGGCAGGATCTAAAGTAGAATCCAGACAAATGGGAAGGTGTTGCCCGTGACACATTTCACATGATCTTTTCTTTTTTTCTTCTTTCCCATCTAGCAGTCCAGTTCTGGGGACTTCAGGACTCTTCGGAAGGGGCTGTCCCCTTATCACTCAGAGTCACAGCTGTCATCCTTGCCACAGTACCAGGATGCCCTGCAGAATGTAAGAGCCCTCTGTGCTGGCCACCTGGGAGGGGGTGATTGGTGGATCTGGAGGGAAGCTCAGATAAGATGTGGAAATGTACTGGATCCCCGTGGCTTAATACTGTATGATCTTTACGTCTCCCAAATTTGCCACATGCTTTCTGTGTGACCAGTGGCAAGTCACTCCTCTGGTCCTCATTTTGTTCATCTATATTATGAGGGGGTTTGGGGAGCTCTAAGGTTTGACAGAATTATGGTGCTCTCAGGCTAATGGAAACTTTTCACGAACTTAGACAGAATACTTTATTATGAGTCAAGGCAGTGTTATTATGACACATGACATGCTATACAATCCAGTGCTTTCTGGATTTGAGTTCACAAGGCTCCCTGTGAGGTTCAAATCCCTATGTGACCTCGGGGAAGTCACAACATCACCTTGATGAGCTTACATTTCGTCATCTGAAAAATGAGAGGATTGAACTAAGTGACCTCTAAGATCCCTTCCCGATTGAGTATATGAGGTAGTTAGGTGGCATAATGGATAGAGTGCTAGATATGGAGTCAGAAAGATCTGAGTTCAAATCTATCCTCAGACACTTTGGACAAGTCATTTAACCTCTGTCTACCTCAGTTTCCTCATTTCCAGAATAGGAATTCTTTTTTTTTTTTTTTTTTGCTTTTAGGCAATTGGGGTTAAGTGACTTGCCCAGGGTAGAATAGGAATTCTTATAGCACCTACTCCATAGGATTGTTGTGAGGCTAAAATGAGGTAATATTTATACAGCACTTTGCCAACCTTAAAGCCCTATATAAATATTATCATCAGGGGCAGCTAGGTAGCTCAGTGGATAGAGTACTGGGCCTGAGTCAGGAAGATGTGAATTCAGATCTGGCCTCAGACACTTATTTGCTGTGTGACCCTGGGCAAGTCACTTAACCCTGTTTGCATCAGTTTCCTCATCTGCAAAATAAGGTGGAGAAGGACATGGCAAACTACTCCAGTATCTTTGCCAAGAAAACTGCAAAGGGGGTCACAAAGAGCTGGACACGAATGAAAACAATTGAACAACACAAAAAAATTATCATCATCATTATCTGTCATCTCTCCCTGAAGTACTAGTTGGGGAAGCAAAACATAATAAGTACATTGTAATATACCAGCCTGGTGGAGTTGCTAGGCCAAGTTGCTGAATCAAGTTGTTTTTCCATAGCCTGGACCAGGGGTGGGGCCACAGCCCTCTAGGTCCTTGGGTGCAGTCTTTTGACTGAGTCCAAGTTTTATAGAACAAATCCTTTTATTAAGGGGATTTGTTCTGTGAAGTTTGGATTCAGTCAAAGGGCTGCACTTGAGGACCTAGAGGGCCATAAGTTCCCCTCCCCTGGACCATGACAGGACCCACACTTTGGGGATTGGGGGCTGTCTCCATATTTCATTTTAAGAAATGTTTCTCTTGTTATTGTTATTGGTATCAAACATGAATGTCTAGTGTCTGTTTGCTGACTTTCCTATAAAGAAGGCCCAGCTTAGTTAAACACAGGTCTTGCATGCTAGGTGATAAGAGGTGGGGAAAGTGGGTCTTGGGCTGGCCTGGGGCAGCTTCAGATTCTATGTCACTAGCTCCCCTGTTATAGGTGACAGGTGCGACCTTTAGCACCCCTGCCTGTGTGTTTAGGAACATAAGGACTTTGGGCTGGCTCCTTTCCCTCTCTTCTCCCTCCAACCCCTCCAAATTAAGGGAGTTTTATGTTTGACATATACATTGGACTTTGAGTTCAAATCTGGCCTCAGAACTGGGTGACCCTGGGCAAGTCACTTAACCCTGTTTGCCTCAGTTTCCTCATCTATAAAATGGGCTGGAGAAGAAAATGGCAAACCACCCCAGTATCTTTGCCAAGAAAACCCCTAATGGGATCATGAAGAGTTGGACCCAACTGAAAAATAACTGAAGGACAACAATCTTGATGTGAGGTTGCATGTACTATTATCAGTTACGATGGAACGTTTATTAAGTGCTTGCTGTGTGCCAGGCACTATGCTAAACTCTGTGTGTGGGTGTGTGTAAATGTATGTATATAAACAGGCGTGCATGTTTGTGGATACACGCATGTATGTGTATACATACTTTTGTGTGTATGTATTGCTATGCTAGGAAAGAGAAAAAGTTTGTCTTCAGTTTCTCACTTCTCTGTCACTTTCATGCATTATAGAACTGGAAGGGATCTTACAGGTCACTGAGTCCAAATCCTTGCCCTGAGGGGTATGAACTGCTCTGTGTACTCACATGTGTGCGTATGTATACACACATGTGTATAGGCAGGGATGATCTTGTCAGGGTGTGCACACACACATATACACATCTACAAACATGCACGTTACAGGCATGCCACACACATGCTACAAACATGTATAACAGATGTATGAGCAGGAGCTGTCATGTTCACATGTGGCAGACGCGGCATGATGCTCTGTGTGTACATGTGTGTTTGCATCATGCATATACATTCACATGTGTACATATGTATTGTCATACATGCACTATATATACACAAACATGTATACATTTGCACATTCACATACACACATAATCAAACAAGGTGGTCCCTGCCCTTAAGGGGTTCGCTTTCTAATGGGAGAAGACAGTGCTTCTAAAGGGGTACTGAAGGGGTAGGGAAGAACAGGAAGGAGGGCGGAGGGAATGGGTGTCCGTGAGGAGGCATGGTGGTAGGCCGTAGGTAGCAGTGTGGTGGCCTGGTTCCCAGCTAGACAAGGCAGAAAGTTCACACATTAGAGCCCGAGCTAGTTTCCAAAGGGTGGAAATGGTTAGAGGCTATTGCTCATATATGCTGTTAATTTTGGATGGGAGGTGTACATATAGTGGGTATAACCAGGAGTACTCTGGAGATCAGCACAATGTGTTTAAACAACATTTGTCAATAAGAATTCAAAAGGAAAACAGATTTCCATAGAGGATGCACTCAGTGGTTTGGAGGCCTTTTTAAAAATGAGAAGAATAAATAACAGCAGCAGCAGCGATTTTTGCCTATATAAACAATGTGTAAATCTACAGCATTTTACACGTCTTCCTCATTTGAACCTTATAATGCCCCAGTGAGCTTTGTAAGGCAGTGCTGTCCTCATTTAATAGCTGAACAAATGGAGACTCAGAGGTTATGGGATTTGCAAAAGGTGATGGATACATCTGGTGAGTAGCAGGACGAAGGCCTTCTATATAGGCCCCCTGCCTCCTACTGCATCCAATTTGCCTAACCATAATTTAGGTGCAAGAGTGAACTCCAGGTGCTGGGCACATAGCCCCTGCTTGGCTCAAGGTTGGTGAAGACCAGTCTTAAACCCATGAAATAGCCAGGGAACTGGGACCAATGACTGAAGAGCGTTCCAAAACCTCCCATGTGAATGAGCGTGTCAGATCACTCATCTGTGAGAGGGTACGTGTTGCCTCTGGGTTGGGGGGGTGGCAGAGGCTGGGGTTGAGCATTTGGTAAGGGCAGGGGAGAGGGTCTGGGGAACAGTGCAGCTTTGCACGGGGGTATGGTGAGCACTGGACAAATAAAAAGGAATAAGGTACTGGCAGAAGCTCTGGATAAGGAGTGAGGAGGCCTGGGTTTAATTCCATTCACACATTTTTGAAGTACTTCCATGTGGAAGGTATAGGAACAACACAATTTCTACTCTTAAGGGACTTATATTCTTGCTAGTGAGTATAGGAGATGGTGTATGCAAGTAAATGCTGAGGACACATACAGTGATCCAAAGAGGAAGACAGTGCTGGTAACTAGAGGGATCAGGAAATGCCCCCAAGCTGTGCTTTGAAGGGAAGTGGGGATTCTTTGAGTTAGAGGTGAAGGAGAGTGCATTTCCTACACGGTGGACCACTCGTCCAAAGGCAGGAGCTGCAATCTTGTGTACAGGGAACCACAGCCGAGCAAGGTTTGAGTCCCTGCCTTGGCTCTGTCACTGATAAGCTGTACGTCCTTGGGTTACTTAATTCCCCTTCTCTGAGCCTTGGTTTCTTTATCTGTAAAATGGAGGATTTGGACTCAGTGACCTGTAAGCACCCTTCTAGGTCTAACAGTCTATGTGTATATGAAAGAGAAGGAGGGGTAAGGAACTGAAGACAAACTTTTTTTTTTCCCTACCCGGCACAGCTCGAGATTGGCCTCCCTTTTCCCTCTGCCCCATATTTCACAAATGTGGGACCAATATTTCCAAAGCCCTGTGTGGCCCCACACAATGGAGGCCCCATTCAGATTGTCTAAAGAGCACAAGCCACTTTGGCAACAAGCCAAGTACATTTAAGGAGTTGGCTCTGGGACATCTTGCCTAGACCTTTAGGAGCCAAGTGCCAGAACTGAGGGCCTAGCCTTTTCCCGTCCTGTCCCCTCTTGTACCTGTGGTGCATGGTTGGAGAAAATTATCACAACAAACAAGGTACAGTGGAAAGAGCGTGACCTAGTCTCTCAGTGGTCAGAGAATGAAGATACCTCTTTTGCCCATGGCATAATGCTCTGTGCAGTCTCAGGCCAGTTGTTCTTGGGGCTGTAATTTCCCTATCCATAAACAAGGGGGCTAGATTAGATGATCTCTAAGGCCGCTTCCAGCCTCTTTTTGTTCTGGATTCTAACTTTCATTATTCTACAGTTTCTTTTATCACTTAACATTTGCGAGTCTAAGTGATGTCTCCAAAATAGAAACTGTGATTGACAATTGCTGTTTCATGTCACTTACAAATCCATTTTGGGGAAAGCTTCTTATTTCAACTGATCTCAGTTTTTTGATGAGCTAGACAAAGATTCCCCATCCTTTTGGATGGGATGTGCTGTGGCTGGTGGCAGTGTTGGGGGGGGATATGCATATAAATAAACTGTCAGTTTCTTGTGACATATGGCAGGTGACTGGGGTGAGGGGAGGCATGACTGAAAGTGACAAATGGCTTCTGGGCAGTGTTTTACCAAAGATAGTCTGCCACAGATATCTTTAACCTCTGAACCATAGGTCAC